AGGGCTCCACATCTGAGGTCAGGAGTGGTGCTTCTGGACGCCCTCCTCCCTGGGTGACTTTGGGGCTCACGTTTCATTTCTGGGCCTTCATGTTCCGTCTGTAAGGTGAGGGGACTAGACTGAGACCGGGGAGTCTGAGCCATGGCAGTTCCCTGGAGAGGGTAGGGAGGGGGCCAGAGGCTCCCTGGGCTCCCATTCCCTCATCTGCATAGCGAGAGCCTGAGCTTGTCCGGCTGCCTGCCCGAACCCTGTGAGGTTGAAGGACATGAACTGTCCCCTCTCCGTGCTGGTTTCCTCTCCAGTCCAGGGGAGGCTCAGACACCTGTCCTGTTCACCTCACATGGCTTTTATCACGTGAGCATGTCTGTCATTCTCAGAGGCTTCTTGATGCCTAAATCCTGTTGCCTGGCCTTCGAGGCCCCCCCCCTCGACAGATTCCCCACTTTTTTTCTGCAAAATGAGCACCCTCACTGCCTATGACAGCACCCTCTTCTGTTCCTGGTAGGCCTTCCCTCACCCCTCTTCTCAGCCTAGCCAGTCTTTCAATGGAGAATATTCAATGGAGAATATTTTTTCATTGATTTTTATTTATTTATTAAAAAATTTTTTGAAATATATTTTTATTGATTTCAGAGAGGAAGGAAGAGGGAGAGAAAGATAAAAACATCCCTGATGAGAGAGAATAATTGATTGGCTGCTTCCTGCACGCCCCCCACTGGGGTTCAAACCTGCAACCCAGGCATGTGCCCTGATCAAACATCGACGTGAGAGAGACACCTTGATTGGTTGCCTCCCGAACGTGCCCGGCCCAGGACCGGGGATTGAACCTGCCACTGAGGTACATGCCCTTGACTGGGAGTCAAACCTGGGACCCTCTGGTCTGAGGGCCAATGCTCTAATCACTGAGAAAAGCTGGCCAGGGCCCCATCCAGTCTTTAGACCAGCTCTAGCCCTGCCTCCTCCAGGAAGCCTCTCGGCTTGCCCCACCCCAAGTGCCATCCTTGGACCATCTTTCAGTCTTTAAGGTGTGGCTTTACTTTCTCATCTGTAGACACTAAACTGCTGACAGACCATAAACAATTTGAGAGCAAGGCCTGAGCTCACAGGGGTGGACATGGGGGCGTGGACACTGGGGTCCTTGACTCCCAGCGCAGGGAGGCTCAGAGGGAGGAGGGAGCACGCCCACGGTCACGTAGTGCGTAGGTGAAGGAACCAGGCCCAGAACCCAGGTGCCTCAGGCCCGGGGAGGCAGGCTTCGATATGTGGTGAATGAAATGGAGGGGCACAGGGAAGGGCAGAGGCCTCAGAATCAGGTGACCTCTGTGCCACCTGAGGCACATCGCCCACCTTCCCCAAGGGACCTCTGGTGGGGTTAGAGCGAGGACCACGGTGAGGCCTGGTACACAGAGGTGCTCAGTGATCATAAGGAGCTCATTGTCCATCCAGCCCCCCTGCCTGGATCGCCACCCCTCTTTATCCCTGAACCGCTGAGCACTGTATTTCATTGCCCCGTCATAAGCAGTCCACCATGGGCTTCAAGGCCTCCTCATCAAGCCTCTTGCAGGAGTGAGAGGGAGAAGGGGAAGTCCTGGTGGTCCCTCAGTCGGTAGTGGCTACAGAGGGGCTAGGATGGGTGCCCAGGGGCTGAGTCCTGTGGAGCCAATGGGGTGGGATGTGGCAGGTGCCACTTTTAGAAAAGTCATGCCACCTATTTTAAGGCAGGGAGGGGTGTGCCCCGTCCCCGGCCAGCAGTGGCTGGAAGCCAGCCGCCTGGAGCGGTGGGCGGGGGAGCAGCACTCCCAAGGGTGAAGAGTCCTAGCAGGTGGCTCGGGTATCTCTCTGGGACTTGCTGGCAGCTCTCTGGCCTCCTGCCACCTCCCCACCTGATCCCTTGCACAGGGAGGGAAGCCTGCAGACCGGG